AGAATTTTAGTATACATGCATGATGTGATCAATTTAGGACTGGTTTTTTTAGCTTTTTTTTTTTTTTTTTTTTTGGACCATCTTCATATAATTGCTATGTGGCCACATGATCGAAATCGTATACTGTTTAGGTAACTCTTTAGAAATCAACTTTGTAGAAAATTTACTAAATTATAGACGGTTAGATGGTTCAGTTAACATTGTTATAACTTATAATTGTAGTGTGTAACTAAAAAGCTTGGTCTATTTATTTATTGGAAAATAATTAGATGCCTAATAAACTGTCTTAAATTGCATAATGGACCAATGTCAAACAAAATTGTCAAATGAGAAAGGAGTACATAGCTAGGTGAATTGATCATTGCATCACTTGAGAAGCAGATGGGGATGTAATTAATTGACAAAGTAAAATTCAAAATGGTTTTTGTAAAAAAAATTATCTTTCGGTGTCAGAAATCATTAGGGTGATTATAACTCATGACCGACATTATATGATGTGTATAGTATTGCTTAGTAAATTCCTAAAACGACTTGTTTAATTGGTTGGATGATGATTATATACACTAAGGTAAGGTAGGGACACAAATATAATTAGGAGAGAAAAAGCCCTTCAATCATTGGATTTGAAATCTAATTTAACATTGAGATCATGGTGGGGACATATATGTGGATTGGATTATCAATTTATCACGCTTTGCTTTACTCGTCAATGGAAACTTGTGATTTCATTTCAAACATGTCTTGTGATTGATTAGGAGGAACTCAAAAGATATGGAGACGAAACCACAACAGGATGACTTAGTGGTTGGGAACGTTGTGGGTTCAATTTCTAGTGTTGGTGAATTACATGATAGTGGCCAGAGGGATGATGAAATGTCTATGTGAATCTTCTCGGCCCCCGAAACTGTAGAGTACCATAGCAAAGACAGCAGCTAGTCCATTTAAAAAGAAAATAAAAGAAAAGAAAATGTGGAGCCTCTTCCTATGGTGGATTCTTAGCTTATTTGTTTGAGGAAATCACAAGGTCACAAAGGTGATTATATCGATTGGGTTAAGGATTTCATTGCAAATTCCGCATTGATTCTTTTTTTTTTAAGACAAATGATTCATGCACGTCGCTTTTCACTTTTCACTTTTATCTTCTTTATTTTCAACTTTTGTATTCAACAAAAAGAATGACAAGATTTGAAAGGAATGTGCAAAAGGTGGAAGGTGAAAACACAGAAATCAGTCTCTTAAAATTACCTTGAGCTTTTAGGGCTTTAGTTTTAGCACAAAGTTTTCACAACCAAACCAATTTGCTTTGGTAAATGAGTCTTATTAGATTACATGGGATTCATTCACCAAAACTAACTAAAATGTATTAATTAGTGTCCATGCACCAACGCATGTGTTGTTAATCAGCATTTGCATGTGCTAATCCATATTCAATTAAATCCTTAAAACAACTTTTAATCACATGCACGCTGAACCTCTGTCCCTCTCTGCCTCTCTCCCGTATCCTTGCTGCTGCTCCTGCTTATATTATCACTCTCACTCCATCAACTTCCAAACCCCCATCTCCCCTTCCATCTCTCTCTCTCTCTCTCTCTCTCTCTCTCTCTCTCTCTCTCTCTCTCTCTCTGCCATGAAGATGGTGAGGTTGCTCTTAATCTCAGTGGCAACATTCTGTGCCACTGTCTCAACAGTGAGCTCTTCTTGTTCGCCATCAGACCTAGCAGCACTTCAATCCATCAAAACCGGCCTCACCGATTCCTCCTTGGGCATCTTCAACTCTTGGGTCGGAACAGATTGCTGCGTAAACTGGTACGGAGTCAGCTGCGATCCCACAACCGGCCGAGTCTTCGACATTAATCTCCGAGGCGAGTCGGAAGACCCGATACTCACGAAATCAGGCCAGTCCGGGTTTATGTCCGGCTCTATCTCACCCAAAATTTGCAGCCTCGACCGTCTCACCACCCTCGTTCTAGCCGACTGGAAGGGAGTCACCGGCGAGATTCCCCAATGCGTCGCCACCCTCTCCAATCTCCGAGTCCTCGACCTTGTTGGAAACAAGATTTCGGGCGGGATTCCGGCCAATATCGGCAACCTCAAGATGCTCACGGTCCTCAACCTCGCCGATAACCAGATCTCCGGTAAGATTCCGGCGAGTCTCGTGAGCCTCTCAGGGCTAATGCACCTGGACCTCAGCAACAACCAAATCTCGGGCGAGATACCGGCCGATTTCGGAAAACTCAAGATGCTCAGCCGGGCTCTGCTGTACCGGAACCAGCTCACCGGGTCAATCCCGGACTCCATCGGCAACATGAACCGGTTGGCCGACCTGGACCTGTCCAGGAACCAATTATCGGGTCGCGTACCGGATTGTCTCGGGAAAATGCGGGTTCTTTCGACGTTGAATTTGGACGGAAACTCGTTTTCTGGTCAATTACCGGCGTCCCTTTTGAGCAATCGGGGTTTGGGGATCTTGAATATGAGCCGAAACGGGTTTGAAGGTAACATACCGGACGTTTTCCACGAAAATTCATACTTTATGGTGCTCGATTTGTCGTACAACAAATTGAAGGGTTCGATTCCCGGTTCGTTATCGTCGGCGAAATATATCGGGCACTTGGATCTGAGCCACAACCACCTGTGCGGGGCGATTCCTGTGGGGAACCCGTTCGATCACCTCGGAGCGTCGTCGTTTGCCAACAATGATTGCCTCTGCGGGAACCCGCTGAGTACCTGTTGATCGTCTCGTTTCGGCCGGTTTGGATTGTATAAGTTATCGTATCGGTCCGTCTCGCTCCGAAGTTCCGGGCAAATGCACATTTTTAATTTTATATAATTTATGTGTAATTGTAAGATTTATTACGTGGCTTAATCTCTTTTTTTTTATTAATTTTATAAAAAAAGTATTAAGTTCTATACAATTTGGTTGAAAAGGACAAAGAAAAATACAGAAATGCAGATGCATGCACGTACAATAATTTTTTAGTGAGTGTTAAGTGAGGTGAGTAAGCAAAACCATCACCCACTTTATTTGTTTGAATATTTTCTGTATTATTTGCATGGGAAATGGTATTATCTACTTGTTAATTTCAAAATGCAAATAACAACTCTCAAATTTTCATCTCTTTCTTGGAGTAATGTGCATGATGGTTAATTTCGAAATGCAAATAACAACTCTCAAATTTTAAATGCAGCTTACATGTGATTGTGTATGAAATTGTTCGTTATGTTTTCAAATGTAAATATAACATGACCAATGCGAAAGCAGTTTGAAAACATAACATTTCAGAAACGATTAAATTGATAGAATTTAGAGTAAGTTGGTTTACAATTTAATTTATGTTTATGTATCTACTTTTTTGTTCTTTTTCCTTTTTGACTTGAGAGCAGTGAAAGGCATCATAAGTTTCACACAACAGAGAGATTCGAAGTGGGTGGGAAAAGATTGCCCGCAACTTATATCACTATGATGAATGACACGGAATAATTGAGGGACAATGCGATAATGCTTTAATATGACTCAGAAAGTTAGGATGCTACAAATCTCAAAGCTCCAAAGTTTTCCTTCTTTATTTTCAATTTCATGTCTTAAAAAAGGGAATGGAAAAGTTTGAAACAGTCTTTGCCATACTATAGAACAGAAAGCAAGGCATTCAAATACACTGATACGGTAATTAACAATGTTATGGTCAGTACTTCATGCGCTGTTAACACACAATAAGGTTTGTAACGTTATAAGACATGTAGATATAAGACTAAACAATGTTACAGTCAACCGTTCATGCACAGACCATTGATGCATTGGTCAAATTGTAAGACAGCTACAGTCAATCAGTCATGCATAAACTATTGATGCGCACACACGTACCCTACGCACATGCATCAACGGTCAGAAATCAGCCGCGTAACCTAACTTAACACTGCTCTTTACTTTACTAAATATCCAAACAAAAATTCAACATATGTAAGAAGGGTAGCTGCCACCATTTATGTTCCATTTAGGTCAAGGATCTCACACAGCAAATAAACACACATCACATGCATATGCATGTCCAGAGTACATGCTCTCCTCTTAACTATTTGCGGCCCACTCTCCAATTTACTTACTAAAATAGTCTGACACTGCCCCCATCAATTCACAGTACAGACAGTTAACAGTTAACTCCCAGCCGCACGGTAGCAAATACGAGCATGGTTTTGCTAACTTGCGCGGGTTTACCCATTTACACCCACCCACCATACCCCATTGAGGGACAAGAGTCACAGGACCACTTTGGATTCACAGAGGCCAAAATTGGATAATTGAAAGGAATGGGGCTCCCAATAATTCAATAGAGACCAGCACAGACAGTCTGTAAAACTTACCAAACGTCCTTAAATACGGTTATGGGGACGTCTTCCTCGTCCCATGCTTCATCATAAATGTACTACAGACTTGTCCTAATCCTAACCTAATTACCTAACAAACGGGAATCAAACCATAGGCTTAACCCCAATCCTAACTTGTTATCCCACCCTCTCTTAGCACTTGAGCTAACCCGAAGAGCTTTTATCGAGATAAGATTTCATCATAATACAGAAAATGATTAGTTATGAACGCAATTTGATTCTAGTCTTTATTAAATTATTCATACAACAGGCAAGTACTAACAAGTAACACCCCTTTCCGAACTTGACAAAATGTCTACCACAGCACAGAAGAGGGACTGGTGTTGCTCACTTAACCTAATTATGCACGTAATTATGTATTTTTCAGCCTATATAAATGGTACGCACTAAACAGCAAGCAATGCTAAAGAGTTTTATAATTGCTAACTTTCGACGCATTATCAGAACAATTAAGCTTTTCAAAACCAAGGAAGTTCCATAGTGTTTTGTTCTCAACCTAAAATACTTAGCAGATGATTCTATATTCCCAAATTCTGAAATGAAAATTCGAATACTACAATAGGATGACAAATTATGAAACTACTCTTTATAGAATTGACAAATTTCTGGGGAAAGAGTTATTTGACAAGTATGGACCTTTTTTTATATGAAAGTAAATATCGATACAAGTCAATGCTCTATTAAAGAAAAAATGAATAAAAAATTTCTCACTATCACATTTCGGATTCAAATCCAATATTCCAAAATCCTTCTGGAGTAAGAGGGGGAGCATACCTATACCGATGACGAGAAACACCTTCATGGTGCTCACAGCGAAAATTATGCTTATTATTATCAGTGTCCTTACCACCGCCGTCGTTGGGAAGGACAGCGTCATAGAACTTTTTGCACTGCTTGCATTCAACTCCTTTCAAATTTTCCCGCTCAGCTTTCTTTCTCACAGGTTCCACAAACTTGAAGCCATTTTTACCGGGCACTGGAACTGGCAATTGTTGCTTGTGTGGCCTAATTACAGCATTCACATCCTGCGTTTCATCATCTGAGCTATCTAGACTCATGTCATTTGGAGCTGGAACTGGACGATCAGGAACCTGTTCCTTTGTGGCTTTGTTCAAGTTTCCTCTGATGTTCTCAAGTGGAGTATCAAGAAAATCATCGTGAGGGTCACGCCCATCTTGGCCTTGACGGGACCTAGTATCCACCCAGCTGGAAGCAGGCCGTTTTCTCCCAGCTACTAGGGTAGATTTTGATGAGGGAGGGCATTTTGGTGCAATGGGGAAGAAGGAAGTAGGAGAGATAGGACTAGTTGCTTGAATTGGCTTGCCTCCTTTCACATCCTCCGAGTTATTGTTACAACTGATTTCATTCCTCGCATTTTTTGTGCATAAAGCTGCTGCAGAACCATTCTGATTTTTCTCTACAACTTCTACAATTTGCAATAGATGAATCATTCAAACTAGGGTGCCAGAAGTGAAATCACTAGGAAAACCCAACCACAGGCTAAAGCTATGTGCATGCATGCTATTCCCCAATTACATAAACCTAGGAATCGAAAATGTCCTTAAAAGTAAAGGATAGCACTCGGACTTCAATTCAAAAGTAAAATACAAAGAACAACCATCCCAATATCATCTGGTAAAGCTATGTTTGGAAAATCACCATAAATTCCCATAATACATATTTCTTACAACAACTTCAATTAAAGGTAACAGACGAAGATCGGTGCACCCAAAATCATCTAGTAAAACTACATTTGGCAGATGACCATAAGTTTGTAGTAACAAATATTTTCTTAGAGTATTCAAATTTATATTCAAAAGACTAATAAAGGTTGAAAGAAGAAAAAAGCAAGAGCATCGTACCATGGGAAGTTGATGGATTCTGATCATTTCTCAACAAATCACTTCTATCTTCCAACTTATTCTGCAGTTGCATATTCTCCCTAGTTAGACCAAGCTTTGTGCGGAGATAATTGTGTTGAGATTTCAAATTTTTGTAAGCAACAGTAAGATCTGTATACTTCTTCCTCTCAGCCAATAAACCCGAGGTCATTGATTCAATTTGTTGATGTAACTTTTCACATGAATCCGTTCTTTTGCCCACTTCACCAGCCGCCATTCCTCTGAGATCCACCTGAAGCTCATCAACTTTCTCCTCTAAACCAGTTACTTTGGCAAGAAGCAGGTTTTTCTCCCTTAAACAACCCTCCACTTCGTTGTTCTTTGAGAGGAGCTCCTTTTGGAGTTTACTAACATTTTCTTCCAAAATTTCCAATTTGGCCATAAGTAGTTTTTTCTCTTCTTCTTGATCATTCAAAACCCTTTCTTTATTCACGATGTCAGAAGACTGATGCTCAATCTTTCGAGATAAATTTTCTTCAAGATCCTTTCCATTGGCTATTTGGTTAGTCTTTTCCCCAAGCTCCTCTTGGAGTTCATCAACTCTAGTTTGAAGATCAATCAATTTAGCAAGAAGCGCGTTTATACCTTTTTCATTCTCTTTCAGTTGTTTTTTCTTATCCATAATGTCAGCATCTTTGGATTGAATCACTCCGAGCAACTTACTCTCCAATTCCATTCCCTTATCTACTTCCGCAGACTTCTGCTTAAGCATTCGCTCAAGCTCAGTACCTTTGAGCTGTACACCTTTCAGTTCGGCAAGTAGTTGGTTCACCTTCTCTTCACTTTCCTTGTGCGGATTTCCCTTGTCAAGCTTGAGTAAGCGGTTCTCTTCAAGGGTTTGTTGCTTTTCAGCTCGAAGCGTTTCAATTTGACGCAAGAGATCATCTTCCTTCTCTTTCCATTGGTTTTCAAATTTCTGGAAGCTGTTAGACTTGGATTGGAAATATGTATAGAGCTGGTTGCAGAAAACATATTCAATCTGAGAAATCCTGTCTTTGGCCTCCTGAATCGTGGCAACAAGTAAAGTACTAATCCCAGAGACATAGTCTACATCATCCCGTTCACTGTCAATGGGGTCACAACCTACTTTGAGGGACTCCATCCCTGAATTTTTTACATAACAAATCAAACACAAATACAAAAATAAGCAAAAAAACAAGCAGCCATAGCAACAATTATCATCGTGTTCGATAAATATAAATTTCTGTAGTGACAAACAATGAAATTCATCAGAATGCAAGTGACAAACAATCTCCGAAATATCAAAAGAGCAATGCCTAAGAGTACCCACACTAATCAAGCAAAGGAAATTCATTTAATTTCAAAATAAAGCTAAAAAAATTGCGAGGAACTGACATAGCTCAAGATTCAAATTAATAAATAAACACAACAGAAATTTGAATCAGGGAGAACATTACGGTTCTGTTTGGTTGCAGTGAATGTGGATTCTGGCCCTTCCGAATGCCGAATTCAAAATTCCGCTCGCGCTCTTTCTGTCAGCGTGTGTTTGTGATTGGCTCTGCAACTTCTAGGGTTTGAGGGGACATGCTTGGGTGCGAGGGGAAATGAATTAGCTGAAAGGAAGACTGGCGGGACGTTATAATTTTATATACTTTCGTTTGAAACGAAGCTTCGCTGGCACGATTGCTAGGCGCGCGTTAGCTTGCACTTGCACTGGCGCTGCGAAATACAACTGTCAAAAACAAGGAAACATGCGCTTACCATGTACAAAATAGAATCTTAGCGAGTAAGGAAATAGGGTTTAGAGAGAGAGAGAGTTGTGTAGAAATGTATTTTCCATTAATTGAAGAATCTGTGTACATTGAGTATTTATACATAAATACTGAAGTTAACTAATCATGCTGACTCATCACTTCCTTAACTAACATCTCCAATCTTTGGCGACCTGTTTGGTATCCTATTTGAAAATTTTTATCATTTCTCAAAACATTTCTTAAGAATAATTCTTGAAAACAATTTTTTTAAGACTTAAAAACTTGATTGGTTTGCAATTTAAAATTTTTAAATCTTACGACTTAAACTAGACAAAAAAATCTATGAAGAGAAGGGTTGCATGAGAGGGAGAAAGTGTGACAGTCCATCCCTAATTTTAAGAATTTTTAAAGTTTTAATAAAGGATTTTACAAAAATGCCCTTTGAGGCACGCTCATTATTCAAGGTTAATGGTTGTGTCGTGTCATCTAAGATTTGTTTTCTTGACTTATCCTCGTAATACTCGTCGCTACGAACGTGGGGACGCTGACGGTTCGTTATTTGGAGTTATAACGAAAAAGATTTTAAAGTTTGAAGTTTGGGCATTTTATAAATTTTATTATTAAAATTTGGATGGTCCAGATTAAAGGAAATTTGAAATTGATGGCTTGGATGTAAGGAAAATAAAAATAAAAATAAAAAGATGTATAAGGGTTTTGTGGTGTGTGTATGTAACGGGAAATGGGGAAGAAAAGAGAAGAAGAAGAAGAAGAAGAGGGAAGGAGGAAGTCTGTTGCCCAATCAGAGGAGAGGAAGGGAGAGACTGCCCAATCAGAAGCAGGAGCAAGGAGGGAAAGGAGAGAGTGTGGAGTGCGGGGGAAAGGGGGAAACGGGTTCCCCAACCCGCGACCCGTGTGCACCCATTTCCATCCCTTCATATTTTTCGGTGGTTTTCCACCGGATTTCTCACGAAATTGGACTAAGAAACCATCCCCAATCATTCCCTAGTCCTTTCCTCTTCCATTTTCAATCAAATTTTATGGGATTTGAACTTGATTTCGAGTAGAACGAAAATATGGGTTCCGAGGATGCCATGGCAAAATCCGACAATCGTGAAGGTAATCCAACAAATTGCTACCACCACTAGACTCCCCTAGAACCCAGGAACAAAGCCCAGGCAGTGGTGGAGGCGTCGGAGCAAGTTTGAAGGCCGAATCGAATCACACCCATTTCTAGGGTCCGCACGGAATTTGATGAATTTGAAGTGTTTCCAGGCCAAATTGGCCTTGACCTCAGGTATAAAAGTTTACTCTACTCGTTGAGATCTTAAATTTTGTATTTTTTGAGAATTTTTTGAAATAGTTGGATTTTCCGGCGAACCGGGGCGGCCGACTGCCACCCGCAGCGGCCCGTGCGGCAGCCCATGCGGCGGCGCGTGGCCCATGGCCCGCCAATGTCATTCTTAGCATGTGTTTAAGGTTCTAGGTTTATTTTTGATAATTGATGAACGTAAATTGAGGAATTGAACCTAAGTTCGTTTCGATTAGTGGTTAGGTGAAAATGTGAATTGACGATCCAACCGTCGGATCGTCACCAAACTTTGATACATTGTAATACGTAATATTTGAGGATTATAGGAACTTACGGATCGGGAATACGATTTACGGATCTTCCGGAATTGGAGTTGTAAGTTCATAAAATAGAATGTTAACCGTCACTTGGTTTTGGAAATTGAAGGAGATCCGACCGTTGGATGGTAATGAAATTTTAGGATGTTGTCCTATAGGTATATTGTGGACCTCTGGAAGTTATGGATTTGAAATCTGAGTTGCAGATCTTCCGGATTGAACTGCGTAGTGATGTGTTTTATATAAATTATATTCTATCGATATGATTTCTGAGGTTGGATTTGATTATTGTTCTAGGCGCCGATCGTCATGACGCCTTGATGTGTTGTGCTAGGGAGTTGTTGGGCGAACTCCAGGTGAGTGGAAAATATTTCTATTTATACCTATATACTATTGATATTTTTTCCCAGAAATTGAGTTTAAATGAAAGTATGTTTTTCAAATGCCATGCATGCATATTATGAGATATATGAATTGATAATTGATGCATATATATATATGTGAATTGGTGTTGTGGACGCACAGGTGAGTATCATGTGAGTTTTATGTTATTCATATGAATTATTGATGATGTGAATTGTGTTGAGAGCTCATAACCTGCACCCCTGGTGTTAGTGCTTATATTATTCACCGCACCACACGCTCACCTTGGATCCAAGTAGGTGCATGTCGTACAGACCGATAGAGGGTTCCGCCATGCTAGTCGTACAAACCACTAGAGGTGGTTCCGACTGGTAGGTGACCTTAGATTATGTGCACAGATGATTGATGATAGAATCACTATAGCGTATTATTACACCATTCTTGTCGTACAGACTACTTCAGGTAGTTCCGACTTATGTGCAGTGTAGTGCCGTACAGGTTACCGAGGTGACTCCGGTTGGATTGGATGTTGAGCTATAGAATTAACCGTACAGGACAAACTGCAGGGTCTCCGGTTAATTCACCATTTCACCTGTTACATTGATGCATCATTCATTCTGTTTTTGAAATTATATCATGGCATACTTTCTGGTTTTTGAGAAAAATTGATGATTTGAGATTTATGAAAAGTATTATGCTATTATGCTATTTTCTGGGAAAGTATACAGGTTTTACAGCGAGGGGTTAGAAATGTTTTAAATGAAAAGTTTTCGAAAAACTTTGTTTTACTGACCCACTCAACTTTGTTTTGCGCCCCTTCAGGTTCTTGATAGCAGAGCTTTGGTGGCCACGAGGAATGCAACGGTGTTCTGACAGAATTCACAAAAGTAGGACTCACCATCGGGTGTTTCATCTTAGTAATTGTATTTTTTTTTTAAAGCTTTCGAATTGTGTAAATGGTTACGTCACACTCACGTGACGACCAGCACACCCTCCTTCGGGACGGGGTGTGTCAGAAAGAGGAGAGAGGAGGAAAGAAAGTAAGAGATGATTAAAGGAAAGAGAAAAAAAAAAGAGGATCGGACGAGATAGAGAGGAAGAGGAGTGAGAGAAAGAATCAAGAGAATGAAGAGAGTGGATTGGAAGAAATACGAAAAAGAAAAAAAAAAGAAAATATGAGAGATAGATATAGATTTGGAGTGAGAGGGGAGGATGGAGAGAAAAGAAAATGGTGAGTTTAAGTTTAAAAATTCTAAAAACTCACTTTTTATGTTTTTATAAAATAGACTATATTTTTAAGTTAGTCTTGAGTTCAGTTTTTGAAAATAGTTCTACCAAACAAGTTTGTAAAGCCTAACACTTGAAAATTGTTTTTGAGTTTAAAAAGTTGGATTCAAGTACAGTACCAAACATGCCCTTAGGTTTTAGCTCAGAAACAGTTTTTATGCTCCAACCTTTTTAGCCTCAAATTATTAAAGAATGAATTTAGGTTAATTTTGTTTCTTAAATTAACTTTAAAAAAATTATGTAAACTATCGTAAATTAATTTTATGAACATTTTAAACTAAAATATTTAAATTTCCGAAAAATATTGAAAAAATCACTAAATCCACACATGAAACATTATGGAAGAATATGAAATTAATGTAAAGGACAATTAATAATTTTTTTTAATTATTTTAGCTGTTGGATTTAAATTTGCGTCGTTAGAATTTTTTTACCATTATATTTGATCTAAGCCGTTGGATTAATTGTATTTTAAAATATATTGTTTAAAAATTAAAAATAAAATTTGAATCTGGACCGTTGGATCAACCAACGGTCCAAAGATTACAGTTGTGCGATTAAAAATATATCCGTTGGGCTCATGATGTGGTCGATAGCTACCTGACAATGGGTCCCCCCCCCCCATGTTGGGCGCTGAAGGCCTCAACCTATGTGTGGAAAGTGGGGCGAGTGGGTGGGCTACAACGGGCCGATGATTAGGCAAGTCCACGAGCATTGGTGGGCTCCATCCGTGCTTTTGGTCTATTTTATGCCTGGTATTTGACTTCCATTTGAATTTTAGGTTTTAGGCCACATTTTAGCATTGGGTTGGGTTTTCCCGGGGGGGGGGGGGGGGAATAGAAGTGGAAATTTGAGTTTTAACCCAAGGTCGGAAAAGGTCTAATGGACTGCTTTTTCAGTTGAGTGGTAAACTCTTTTTTTTTTTCTTTTTCCAATGATTAAAAGCAATTTTTCTTCAATATTTCGGGACTTCTAAGTAGTTTGGAAAATAAACAGTTAAGATTCAGTTAAATTTTTTTTTTTTAAAACCATATGGTGAAGGTTATTTTAAACGTCAGATTACTTGGTAGACTACCTGATTACAAGAACATTAAAATAAAGGGAACTTTAACGAAAAGCACCCGGTACTGTTCACTTTAATGAAAAACCACATTTTTACATTAAAAAGTCAATCCTGGTACTAATCACTTTACTCTTTATTTTGTCCTTATCATTAAAACTCAAAGTTTTCAAGCCATTTTCAGTAGTTTTCCTTAAAATTAAAAGGTTGTCACCGGATGTTTAAATAATTGGTTTACCATACTTGATCGGCTAAAGGAATTTGAATTGTATGTTGAACTGCTTGGAAGAGTCTTTTGGGTTCCCTTCAAGCTGTACCTTTTGAATCTCCATGTGAACTGCCCATTGAAGAGTTTGGCTCGAGTACTACACAGCTTAGCGGGCATGATTATCAGAAATCTTGACATACTATTGTATGCCAAAATCGAGGGATATTGTACTCCAAACCACGGAAAATTTTTAGTTGTAACGGAAACACGGATGATACACCACGTATTTTTATGCAAGTGGTGAAAATTTTTAATTTCTAAGTTATTAACCTTTTAACACACATAACCCACCATTTATATAGAGATACGTGATGTACCAACTCGTGTGACCGGAACATTGAAAAATCTCTACCAAACCACGAGAAAACACCCGGGGGTATATTCCGTGATGAGAGAGATACTAAAAGGAGAAATTCTCTTGGTTTTAATTTGTAAGGGTCTTCATTAAAAAACTGAACAGACAAACACTAATTAAACAATTCAAAAACTCTGATTTGGAAGTTCCAAGGGCAGACAAAACCAGGCCACACATCCGAAATTGGGATTACCTAACTAGAACAAAAACTAGGGTCTAAACTTTAAACTAAGTTCAACCTTCTTCTTCATCGATCACCTTGGTGCCCAAACCACTAAATCCCTCTGGAGGGACCTCTGTAACGGTGACTAGAGAGTAAAACTCTTCCTTGGCATCTTCATCATCATTTCTCTTCCTTGCAATACGGACACGTATCCTTCTTGGCACACTCCGAATACCACGGCTCCATATGTGCTTGTTGAGCTTTACATCCACTCTGACATCAGTGGTTCCCATGGACTTTTGAGCAAACTTCCTGATTTCCTTTATCGCATTTGGTGCCTTCTTCTTAAATGTGCTGCATGGGAATCGAGATGATGGTTAAGTATTTTTATACAAGATAATGGTTAATTAGAAGCGAGATAAGCAAATTGCACAACTCATAGAAGGAAATACTGCTGCAGAAATGGAGTCTGCACCATAATTCAGAGAACCATATATTTTCTTTAACAAAAGTTGGTTTCTGGAAAAGTAACCGTTCATTCTTTTAATCACAAACAGTCAGGATTCTCATCACTGCGTCATAAGTTACCAACAAGGTATTAGTTCTACAAAACCCTTCGATTCCAAGAAGCTCCAGGTTAGTTGCTTTTCAAAGTTCTTTATGTTTTTCTATTCTCGACTATTACCCCAAAATAAAAACTATAGAATAGGGTGAAACAAATTTGACCATCCCAAACAAATAACAATCAAATGGACCAAAGAAATTTGGCACATCGACAATTCACTTAAGGTGCTAAGACCAAACCCTCGTTAATTCACTTTCCGTTGACAAAACCCCATTAGCACACCAGCTGCTAAGAACCAAAGAAATCTCAAACCAAACTGAGTTATAAAACAAAGACAAAAGTCATTGTTGACAATAAACCCTGTATTCCACTACACCCCGGGTTCAGTTGGGCAATGTCAAAATCAAGAATGTAATCAAGTAAACAGCTAACGGAGCAAATATTGCTCGCAAAACCCTTCAATTTAAGCCACCAATAACTATTACGATTGCATCGGTGGACATCAAAGAAGTGAGCAAGTCAACAATTCACTTCACCTAAGACCAAACCGTCAACAATTCACTTCACCTAAGACCAAACCATCAACAATGTTCTTGTGAAGCAACTAATCAATACCCTACTTACATAACGCCATCATTGCAAAGGGATTCTCCAAAGATTTAGGAAATGAATGAAGCATAAAAAAAATATAAACAAGTTGCTAAAAACCCTAAAATATCACTCGAAAACTAATATTTTGATCAACTAAACCAATAAATTAAAGAATGCAATCAATAAAACAATTATCCAAAAAAAATAGCTCAAAAAACTAACAAAATAAAACCATAAAAATCCAAAGATTAAATTAAATTAACCTCCTTAAACTCATCTAAACTAATTAGCTAGAACAAAACAAAAGTAAAATTTCGAGGGCTTACCATCCATGCAAGCGTTTGTGGACGTTGATGGTGTACTCTGGTAACGACCTCCTCCTTTCTCCCCTTGCCACCGCCCTTCTTCTCCATTGTTAAAGCTCTGAGCTCAACCCCGCCTCCCTGATGCAATGAACTCACTGTCCGTCGGATGCTCAATAGCATGCGCCCTAGGGCTTTAACGATTGGGCGATCATATACTGATGGCCTTCTCATCAAATGCCCTCATTTGTCCACTAAACTACATCATTGTCCGTCCTATTATGAAAAAGATGCAAGGTTAATTTTGTCTTTCTAGTTGGTTTCAATCCTTTCGTTAGCCTTGTCCCTTGTGTTAAAAAACTGGGCCAGACCGAACTAAACCCCGTAGCCCAAATGTAGGATAACAACCTTTTTTTTTTTTTTTTTTTTTTAACAAACGATATTATTTATCTAGTAAGTTGGATAAGTCTCACAATAGGCTAACAATCATGTGGTTCAAATTCTCCTTTGGCGATAATCAACCCTAAAGCTAGCAATCATGTGGTTCAAATTCTCCTTTGGCGATAATCGAACCTAAAACCTTTCACTTATAAATGAAGAGAAATATCACTATACCGTAATCCTAACAACTTAAAATGAAAGGAATGTCAATATGACGATATTCAATTTTACAAAGGTTTAAACATACGAGGTGTTGCATTTTGAATAAATTTTTTGGCCTAATACAAATACTGACACGTGATGTTACTATTTCACTTAAATTATAAACACGTATATTTGTTTTGTTTATATATTTAAAAGTGTGATCTATTAAGTTATTAACTATGTCATCTCCTTGTATTATAATATGTAGAATGGTAGTACCATATCGACGGTGATAGCGGTACACGCCCATGTGGATTATATGCAAGTCCTTCACTAGTCCAGAGAAATACTTAATTAGATGGGAGGATCCTTTTCTTGGAACTTCCGTGATCGTAATCATTCATCGTATCTCACAGAGGCATTTTAGCCTCTTACTGGCCATAAATCAGACCAGCAATGGGTTTCAAACTCAAGATGTCAGCCTCCCCCTAACCATAATTTTGGTTTACAGGCCAGCAGCGGGTTTCGAACCCAAAATTTCAATTGCCCCTGACCATAGTTTGGCTTCCAGACCATCAACGGGTTTTGAACCCAAGATTTTAGCCTCATCCTGACCATAAAAGTCTGGCTTCCAGACCAGCAGCTGTTTCGAATCCAAGACCTCCAATTTTTTTAATGCAATATATGATGGAAATTAACAATAATAAAATAAATAAAAAGAGAAAACTCAAAACCCTGTACTAAGCTTCAAGCTCCCGCTAAAGCTGCCATAGGGTCTCATCTTTCATCTCTCTCTTATTTCCAACCACAGAGACAAAGGTACTGACTTTCACTTAAGTTTTACAATATCTTATGCTAATTTCAGTTAAATTTTACAATATTTTATGCTAATTTTTTGTGGGAGTTTTTATATATTTTTAAGTCATCCTCGATCTCTTTTGGGTTTTTTGGATTTCTCAGAAACCCTAGATTTTGATTAAATGTTTTGAAGTTTTTACACTCAAATTTCACTTGATGTGCTGCCATTTGGTTCATTCAATTGATTAACTTTTTGTTTCTTTTTTTTTTTCCAATTTTTTTTTAGCATTTTAGGGTTTTTGAGTAGAAACCTTCATCGGCGAATTTAAGAACTGAGCGGAGCCGAATAAGATGGTAAGTTTGAGACCCGCGAAGTTTATAAAAATAAAAAATAAAAAAGCTGAAATTTTTTTGTTATAGTTTGAAATTGTGTTTTTGTGTTTCAGTCAGGGAGGAAAGAAACAGTTTTGGACCTGGCCAAGTTTGTGGACAAGGGTGTCCAAGTCAAGCTCACCGGCGGTAGACAAGGTTAATATACTTTGCCGAATTTTTCAAATGAATTCTAGTTCTTTAATTTTAGATTCTGGATTTAGTGCACAATGTTGTAGGTCTAGCAGTTTGTTCTATTTTTCGTGGATTTGTGGGTTATTGGTTGTTTGATTACCGTTCAATTTAGGGGGTCACGCTTCAAGCAGTTTTTTGGTTCTATCTAAGACAAGAAGGAAGAGGTTGCAAGATTCTAATCGAGCAATCTTGAAGATTTAGAATGTAGAAATATACACTCGTTGTAGGTTGTACAGTAAATGTGTTATGACATGATCCAGGGTATGTGGCAACACTGCAGAGACACTAGCTGAGTAGAAATAGACCGTCCTGTTTCTTTTGCTTCAAGTATAACATCAACTGGATCTATATCATACTTGTTAAGAAAACATCAATGAGAGTTTTTTTGACTTATTATCCAGTATGTGATAAACTGTTGTGAATTTGGTTACAGTGACAGGGACTCTTAAAGGTTATGACCAGTTGTTAAACCTTGTTCTAGATGAAGCAGTGGAGTTTCTAAGAGGTAAATGTTTCACAGCATTCTCGAAACTGTTTACGACATATGTTTTTTAAATTCACGATCTTGGAACTTTTCTACAGCTGTGAATGCTTAGTTGACTTGAGAATCTTTCCCTTGTGTTGCAGATTCTGATGATCCGTTGAAGACCACTGATCAGACCAGGCGCCTTGGCCTCATAGTATGTATTCTTCTAGTTTATCTCTGTTGTAGGATCTTAAGAAAACTGCACGGGAACTTGATATATATTGATGTTGGCTGTTGTAGGATCTATGTTTAGTTGTATTCAACTATGCCTAAAATTGTTAGGATTTGTGGTATGCCTGGTTGTGACACTTTCTGTGTATCTGATGGCAGCATATTGAGGGGAGAGATGAATACTTCAGGAGAAAATTAGAAAAGAAAGAATAATCATCAGACCCAAGAAGAGCTTAGCATATTAAGAAAATGGCTGGAATCTCCTTGCTTTATTAGTCAACTATATTTGACAAGGATTAGGGGGAATACCCCCCAAGCTGATCCAACCATAGGAAAAGCTGTGAAGATTAGGAAAACAAGTGTGCATGTATGATCAGTAGGTACTGCTCCGAAGAATAGGAAACAAGTGCGCATATACAATCAGCAGGTACTGTTGTGATGAAATTGAAACGACCAAAGTACCCTTGATATAAGTAAAGCTCAGAAACTATAAGATTCAGTGCAGATATCAGCTCGTTTGAGAAGTTCAATTGGGTTGGGAATCCTGTTTAAAAACTGTGTTAATTTTTTAATTTAGTTTTCCTATTTAGTGCTTTACACATCTCTATTGCATATTATGGAATTTTGAGCCATCTAGGGCGAAACCCAGAGCTTGTATATTAGTGTAAATATTTTCCGTTGGGCACGTGACCCACATAACTACCCGTTGCTTGCTCATAACTTGAGACTTATCATAGATGAAAAGTTCATTTGATCCCTTGGGGGTTTAGTGACTTATCTCATAGTATGTAAACTTATAAAGTTCAGTTCTTGGTTAACTCCTCGGACTGATACTTGTTGGCTTTAGTTAATGCATCATGTCATCATACAAGTATGATATTTGTAACATAATGTGACATGCATCTGTAGGCACCTTGACGCACATAACTTCTTCTTCATTATTATTCTCTTGATGTAATTCAGTTAAATATCTGAAAGTGACTGGTACCTCAGTTCCTTCCCCATCTAGTAGCCAAATTCAAATTTCAACCTATTTTTGAAACAATGTTCAAACTAATACCCTCCTTGAGAATAAAAGAGCTAATTTTGCGACGACAAAGAATGCGAGCCCATTAAATGTATTCCAATATTCCTTCTCAACCTTGGTCGTTGTCATGACATGTTGAAACACCAAAGACTCCTCATAATACTATATTTTTCCATAAGATTCATGAGATACTTACTCCGGTATAATTTTCTTTCTCGTCATCCTCTGCTGTTCCCTTCATCCTGGCTGTCTGCAGGAACAGTTTCACCTCTCCCTGGAAGAGTGACAACTAAAATTCAACTTGCTGACCTCCTTATAAGAGTCTGAACGAAAGCTGATTTTGGAACCATCTCTTCCCTTTCTCACCATGGTCATAGTAGGAACATATCTGTCATGTATTTGATTAGTTTGGGTAGTATCTCGTCCTCCCAACTTGATTTCTTTTTGCTCACTTTGAAACTCGAACAACAGCTGTATTCATAGGTATTGCACCAACACATGCTTTCCAGGAAAGACATCGTTGTATGCGCCTTCCTCTCCCAGGAGGGGATATTAAATCGTTTTAGAGGGGTTACATGATTCATAAAATACCTGTCTGTGGTCCTTCCATTTTCGTTTTAGTGAGTGGAATATCTTATACAAATCCATCTAAAAGTTGGTCTGCATATTCGGTTTTCTCCTTGTTGAGCAAATTGCTCAAACTTTCTTCTGCCATGAAGGGCAGTATTTTTCGGTTTAATCTTCACAAGCTTCCACCGAGTCTCGGAACTAGTTTTCCAATCCAAATAATCCTCCATATGCATTTTCCCACGCAATCAGAAACTTCCTACTTCAATTTCTGCTTTAGCAATTTGGCAAAGTGCTTGTGCCTAGTGAACTATCCAAAACTTTTAGCCATTTGGGCAGATTTGTGTGTTTTCCTTCATTTGGATTTAGTATTATATTACTGGTTATTTTGCTGAGATTGTGCTCTACAAAAAGTTTTGAGTGTGCAATATTATGGTGTCAGGTTTGTAGGGGAACCGCTGTAATGCTTGTATCGCCGACAGACGGTACAGATGAGATTGCGAACCCTTTCAGCCAGCCAGATGGTGCCTAAACCGGAGACCTTGCCGTGCCTCTCCTCGCAACACCGCTGATAAGAAACCGTGATGAGGTGGTTGTACCTTTTAAAACATCATGCACATTTTAGGGTGGTTTTGCCCTTGGCCTTTAAATATCATGCACATTTGATTAGTGACTAATGCAAAACATTAAGATGTTTATGACTCCGTTTATTTTAGATATCTATTAAGAAATTTGTTATGGGAATTATTGGATGCCTCTACAAAATGAAACTCAATCGAGTTCAAATCTTATGCATCCAATTTGTGTGTTGCCTCTCTGGCCTGTATGATTGATTGACACGCATTCATAAACTTAACATTTCTTAGCTTTGTTTTCATGAACTTGACACGTTTCAATCAATGATAGTGGCCACACACAAAATGGATGCAGAAGATTTGAACTCGACTTAAGCTGTCCTATCCTTAACTACAAATTTTTTTTTCTGTCACGTAGCATTATGGTTTAGTATCCCCACTTGTAAGTGCAAATTTTGTGAAAATATGGGGATTTTGTGAAAATTCTTTTGCACAGAACGACATCATTCGGATCGAACAAACTTTTGATTTCATTTTTCCATCTTAAAGTTAAAAGTAGGAAAAGCTAATTAACTTTTTGGATTGTATGCTGATTTTGCTTCTCCACTACGTTTATAATAAAAGAAATTCAACTCTCTAGATCACTAACAGTAGGTAGCAAATAAATAAAAAACACTATCAAGACAAATATCTTGGTCTTAAAACCTACAGACATCCTTAAAATTCAACGTTTCAACAAATAAAAAAGCTCAAGACTAGAAGCTACTTATTCTGGTGATTATCATTAAAATATTTAGTTTTGGCCCTTTCCAAAAAAAAAATAGTTTATTTAAAATAAAATAAAAAAGGGTCCTAAAGTTGGTTCTATCATTTGTCTTCAAGAATGCACCTGATTGCTGGCATCCACCCCTCCAACAAAAAGGAAACAAAAAATATCGAAGACTTTCTGCCACTTAGTACTACGGTCTAGTGGTATGTTTTTTCATTTGTAAATAAGAGGACTTAGGTTCAAATTCTTGCTAAAAACGAATTTGAACACATTATTGCTAGTCTATTGTGAAGCTTAGTCCACTTCTTCGTCCATAGATTGTTTGTAAAAATTAAAAATTTAAAAAAATTAATTAAAAAAAAAAGCATGAGGCTTCCTAATAGACCACAATTTAAGGCTTTAGCTTACCCGACAAGAAATGAAATAAAATAAGCCCATATGATATGACACATATACAAGTGTGTTAATTTTATCTTATTTTTGAAGGATTTGTGGGATTATTGTCCAATTAGATCTTAATGTTGGATTCAAAGAGTTCAAGGTTTTTTATAACTTTGTTTTATTTTCGCGTTGAGAAGTAGTAAAAATGGATAATATTTGTGTTATTTTCACTCACAATATAATGTATGGAGCAGCAACATGGTTTGTAGGGGTTAAGACCTCGCTTTATAACTTCATTAGGGTCAGAAATCATCCACGTGCGCATAAGGAGAAAACAAAACAAAATGCCATAACATACCTCTTCAAGTTCTACACTACCATTTAGTTTAACGGTTTCACTTTACATTTCCATTTTTAACCATCAACCCAAACTCCCCTAAACGATGAAGACTAAACACAACTCTTCAAGTCTTCGGTATTATGTCACATACATGCTTACACACATTCACATTAACTTAAACACCAAACCAAATCTCTTCACTTTGGCTTCTATGTAGCTCTCATCATTAATTGAGGAAACTTTAACAAAAAAATTTCGATACTGTTTATTTTAACAAAAAATCACATTTTTACATTAAAAAATAAACGCTGATACTATTTACTTTACACTTTATTTTGTCTTTTTCGTTGCAGCTCAAAATTTGTAGATATTTTTCATTAGTTTTTTTTTAATTGAGACATGGTTATAAGCTTTACTTTTTTAAATTTTATTGTTGTAAATTTCACATGTGTCAGTCAATGGTTAGTGTCAAGTTAAGCCACAGCCATGTGTCTGACAGCTTTTCATGTCACTCAAAGGTCACAAAACGCGGGGCCCCACACGTCCAAGTAGTCCCGGCACCCCACTATGGCCCACCGCACAATACAGGTCATATATACACTCGCGCACTCATCGACGTCGTCTATTCTATTCTAATCACCCACCAACACACAACCTCAGCCGTTGATCTCCTCACACCCTCGAGATCCCCGCCACATATCCTACCTTTTTCATTGAAAACAGCGACCAATTATCATACGCAAATGTTCCCCCTTCACCCCTTCCCATAGGCTCTCTTTCCAACTCGCCTATGCGGCTATGCCAATCGAATTTATCGCGATAAATAAATAATTGTAAAGCCCCCATCTCGTCTCCATACCTTGGGCCCGATGTTTCCCAACCATCACCAACTGTATTTCAAGTTGTAAATACGCGAAATGACGAAAAACACCCTGTCACTTCCTGGAATGTCAATTCAACTGCCGCTCACAGTTTGAAGAAAAGAAAAAACAATAAAATACATTAAAACTACCCCAAAAGAAAAAAGATGAACACCGACAAACACGCCGAATACCTTAAATCATCACAATAATTTTATCATTTCCAATCCAAGAGAAAGTAAAAATAAGAACACGAAAAATTAAAATTAAAAAAAAAAATAATTATCAGAGAGAATTTGATAAACGAAGCGATCTCTCCCCGGCCTCTGAATTTCGTTTTGGTCTCCGAGAGAAAGACGCGCCATGAGAACCGATCGAGCCACAAATTCCTCTTCAAATTTTCGCGTCACTTTTTGCGTTGCTTCATTTCTACAAAGTCAATCGATATATAAATCATCAAACCCGGACGATCTTTGCGGCCTTGACCACGGGGTTTTCTCTCGCGATGGCCTCGCGACCGGCAGCCTTATAGTCGTAGCTGCACACGTGGCGATCGGAGTACCGGTGTTCGGAGCAGAAAAGCTCGCCGCACCGGCACCTGAATCCGGTCAACCCGACCTTCCTCCGACAACCGGAGCACCGATTAACCACGCGCCGATTCGGCGTTTCGTCCGATCTCGCGATCTCTGATGCCGTCGTCTTACGGCAGGTCTCGGCAGCAGCCTCGAAGCTGAAAGATGAGCTAGATCTCGGACTTTTCTCGGCTGAAAACTTCAGAATCGCCGCTGACGACGACGATGAAGTGGCGGCGGCGGCGGCGGCCGATGCGGCGTTGAAGCACTTCTGGCACATGTTGTTGGTGGAGGGATTGCCGGTGACGCCGCAGTTGTTGACGCAGTGCGTTAGCGTTTCGGGGACCTTGAACTCCGTCTCTTCCTTCTCCGTTCTCTGTGCCATTTTTTTCATTCAAATTTTGAACAATCGAGAGATGGATCTCTCTCGTCTTCTCTCTTTTTTTTTTTCTGTTTTTTTCAGAGATATAGATGGATGGAAAGGAAGAAAATTGGAGGTTGTGGTTTTCTAGAGAGACAGAGAGAGAGGAAGAAAAAAGTTGTGGTTTTTAGAGAGAGAGGAGAGGAGAGGAGAGGTTTGGTTGGGCGATGGAGGAGACAGAAATGGGGAAGGGGGATAATATGAGGGAGTGAAAGTTCGGGTACTGGCGAGAAAATATGGACCACATAGAGACGCGTATCCATTTTTGCCTTTCGGTTTTACCGAAATGCCCTTCCTACTTTTCTTTTACTATTACCTTTTTGCTTAAAAAATTAAATAAAAAGAAGGAATAATTGATTTTTTTTGGGTTCTTGGGTGTGGTATTGCTGTATTGTAATCGGAACACGAATAGTAAATTACGTGTTTTTATTTAAATGATGAAAAATTATATTTTTTAAGTTGTTAATTTTTTAACACACATATCTCATCATTTATATAATGATACTGAGTGTACCACACGTATTACGATCGCATTAAAATTGGTTGGTTGTTTTGACGTGGATAATCGTCATTATTGAGAAAAGGTAAATATCCTGACAAAGCTTATTTTAAGGTACGGTGGGACCCTATTTTTTACCCACATGCAGCGTATTACAACATGCGGCCGTCCGATTGATTCTATTGGTTGCCCATGTTCTAATTTCTCTAGTTTTATGGAATTCTATTATTACGATTTAAAATAATAGTTCTTAGATTGTTTATTGACAATTATTTTGATTTTATATGAAAATTTTCGTTAAAATATGGATATTCTTCTCACAAACAACCCCTTCACTTGAATTTGTAGTTTTTTCTATTTAGCGAAGATTTTTTACGGACTGATCAAAATGATTAACAATTGACAATCTCAGTGATATTTTAAATTTCAGGGACTAAAGTGAGTAGTTATGACAATCTAGTAGCTCAAAATCGATAGAAGCTCAAAATATCGTAGATGGATTTGTTATGTTTTGATTTATAGTTTTTAATTTGCTCCAGTAATTTTTCATCAATGATACAAGGAGTATAAGAAAGCTTAACGGTCCGGCTACAAATTGAGTGATACATGTATTATGTAAAATTTAACCATTGTAAAAATTTATTAAATCTCTATATGTAAGGCCAAATTGTTACTTTTACAAAAATATAAACATTAGAAAGCAAAAAAAAAAATTGAAAGTTAAGATTCATTCTCGGCTCAATGTATATATTTGGACCCTCTCCTTGTAATATCCTATCGAACCATTAAGATGAATGGTTCAAATAGTAACACTCCCGCATGCAAAAAACTTCTTGTGATTATGATGATATAAAACCGAAGGAGGATTTTAAATTATCATGATTTGCTATAAAAAGCTATTATATAAAAAGAATGCTTCAAAAGCAATATATTGCTTCCTCTTTAACTTTAAATTTTCCTACATTTGAACAAAATCTGCCTCTCATCTCATGGTCATGGATGCCTTGCCAATTTAAGGTCACTCACATCTTCACCCTACAAAGCATTTCATCTTTCTTTTCTTTCTCTTCACCTTTTTAAAAGGTTTTTTTCTCACAAAAGCATCACGAATATAAGCTTAAAATGAGAGGTACATGTTGTCAAGCTCTCCACCACCAACTATGCTTACACCCTTGCGGCACTAAGCGAGGTTTTACGAGGCAATGAACGAGCCTAGAGGCGAGCATATACAGCTTTCAGCTACCGCAAGAGATGTTATGCGTTTGCAAAGGGTAAAAAATGTCGATTATATTATTGTCCCATGAATAAGGTATCAATGTGACAAAAAAATTCAAAATGAAATTTTAAAATCAAAAGTAGTTTTTCAATATGACTGTTT